TGTTTTTCATTTTCTTTCAAAGCTAATCATTAAATATACATATAAAAATCTCAAAAACTCTACATCCATATCTGAAATCAAATCCAAACTCTTGTTCTTTTTTCGAAACCCATGTAAATCAAAGTTAACCCAATACCCAATCTTCTTTTTCCCCAAAAACAAAAGTTCTCATCGTCATCTCCATCTCCTCCGTCGCGACATCGGCATCGTCTCCGCCGATGGTGGTTGCTTTGGTCCGTCTCTCCACTGATGGTGGTTGCTTTGGTCCATCTCCATTGATTTTGGTCGGTGGTTGTTGCGTTGGTCTGTCTCCGCCGGTGGTGGTTGCTTTGATTTCGGCTGAAAAATTACATTGACTCCATCTTCGTCGCGACTTGAGCGAGTAATACATCTCGATGTGTACGGTGGGCTTCGTTGTTTTGTTCCATAACGAATCGTGTGAGGAGCCATGGTTGTTGTACCCTTCGATTCCGACATGTATGGCCACTAAACCCGAATGGATTTCTAATTTCTTCTTATATACATGTCTGTTAATGCGATTTCTGAAAAATTTGATCACCGATTTCTGTAAAAGGCTTTACAATCTAGGGTTTCTGAATTTTTTATAATTTCCCTATGTGTTGCAGAGACGAAGAGAGAACAGAAAAGAGAAAGTAGAAGGTAGTATTATTTGCAACAGACAGATACGAGCTGTAGACAGTGATTGGTAGACACGACGGTGTGGTCAGTGTTCAGTATAGCATGTATCCATTTGGTCATGACGGCGTGGTCAGTGTTCAGAGATAGCATGTATCCATTTGGTCATGACAGTGATTGTTTGGGTTTTATTGTTAGTAGCTTTGTCTTGCTTTCACAGTTTTAGGAATTTATGTTGTTTACTCTCTCAGGTTTTGCTATTTCAGATTTATTCTATTACAATTCTGGTTTTATATGGTGTTAATCTTGCACTCTCACATGAGATTTGTTTACTAAAATTTGGATTTAAAGTGTGTTCGTGTTGATTTTATATGATGAATTGTGTTTGCTTTAGGCGCTGTATACTAATTAGATTCTAAAATTATTGACGAGAAGTTTCTGAGGTTGGTGAAGAAGAGAGTGATGTAGAGGAAGCGTTTCGTTTGAAACCTTCTCGTAGACATGATGTTGTGGATACGGATCGATGGACATAAGTTTTTATGGCCATGAGTCATGGATACGGTTCATGCTAGTTTCCATGATTATCAGAGATTACACAATCATATATCATCCACGCTAACTCGACCACAATACTTTATCCATGCTAACTCGTCCACAATTCTTTATCCATGCAAAATAAGAAAAAACATAAGGCAGTGAGACCACTTTTGAACAAAGAAATAATTTAATCACGCGAAACATAAGTTTTTCTCTGGACAATCTCATTCGTGTACATGTTCAATTTGCACTCAAATTTGAAGTTACTTACAAGCATCTGTTTGAGTATCTAGTAGTAGAACTTCCTTAAAAAGGGACAATAGTTTGGTGTATACAAATAAACCTATAGAAATCAATGTTGAACAATAAAAAAAAACTTATGGTATAGATTCCAACATCAGTTTTTCATGGGCACAAGATTTACAATCTCCACGATATCAATGAACAGTCGATCAAAAATTATCAAATTGAATCATCATCTTCACAAACTTCCAGTCCTTCTCTACGACTCAAGTCTACTTTTCATAAATGTAAATGGATTTAAAAAAAAAGAGACTTGAAAATGACTACTTTGTATGCTTCTCCTTCGTTACGATCGACACCGCTTTTGCAGGAGCAAATTCAATGGAGATCCTGCTCGAGTATCTTCTTCTTCTTTTTTGCAAGAACGAAAGATTGTTCAGTCTCATCCTAACCCTCACCGGAGATTAACGCCTGAGGAGACGTCCTTCGTGTCTGATTTCACGAAAAATAAGACGCAAGATCAGTCACGAAGAAGAAGACCATCATTTACAACCACACAAACTCTACGTCAATCTAAGCCGTTAAATTTTAAAGCGGATGGACAATATACAAGAACCATGACCATTTGGATAATAAATGGGATTGTATGACCATAGAACCATGACCATTTGGATATGTTTGTGGATAGTTTATTTGCGTGACCATAAAACCATGACCATTTGGATACACCTTAAGGTTTGTCCATTTACAGTTTCAGTTTCTTCAAGATTCGGAGGCTTTCTTGCAATTTACCATGTGTGATCCCATTGAAAACCTGTTTCTCAAAACACACTCTTTAGACTATAAGAGTGAGCAGCATACTCTTAGCATGTTGCTCTTACCGAGTAATATCAGTTCTAATGATTCAACTAAGCAAACAAATCAAAGGATCCAAAAGATTTCCAAAATCCAAAAGTCTCTTCTTTAGATTTATTATGCAATCATAAACAAGTTGCTAAACTACGAATGACAAATCATATCTTTAATTGCTCAAGCGTGCAAACTAAACCAAAATCAAGAACACAATGATCGAGAAGCACTCACCGCATTGTCCACTACCAATCAAGAGTTTCCGAACAGAAGGGTGACGATCGAATTTCCATCACTACAATATAACAATCCTACAAGCACCAAAATGACAAAGAACACTAAAATCGCACTTCAATTCAACTCCAATGTCTGGACATGATTTATACTTAACCTATTTGAACAATTAGAGAGATTTTATTGTGTCCGATTAGACCTATATGAAGAGTGCTTATCCATTAAGTCACCAGGGGAGGCTTGGAGAAAGGATTGATGGTAAGAAGAGAAGAGATGGTGACTGCACGGAGATGGCGGAGGAAATGACATCATCAGAGGCAGAAGAACGTGCGACACAGAGATGGCGGAGGCTGCGGCAGAGGAGCGATGGTCAACGAGCTCGTTGTAGCCGGAATCGCGGAGCCAAGATCC